AGGTGGGAGGCCCTTGTCTGTGGTATAGTGATGACAGTGGGTGTATGAATGAGTGTGCTAAGATCATGCTGGAAGGGGTGCTGGACTGATGCAGTGGCTTGGAGTAAGTGGATGTGGGTGTCCTTGAGGATGACAGCATAAGGAGATTAGCTATGGAGCCAGGGGAGTCCCCATTAGCTCTATGTGCATGTGTGTGTGTGCATGTGCACGTGTGCATTTGCAACAGTCTGTTGCAGCAGCCTGCATGAGGCTGGCTGCATCCTCAGGGGTTGTATATCCTAGTGATGTCAAAATATTTCTGGCTGTAATTCTTAATTAACCTAAGAAACAAAAATAAGTAACTGATGTGAATCAGACAATACAATGGGATGGAAGGTACACAGACTTTGAATGTGAATGTCACTCTAAAGTCACCTTTAGCAGAAATTACAGCAATTTGCTCTTCTGTGTATCACCAAAGTTTTGAAGAAGCATCTTAAAGTAGTGCAATACCCCCCCAAAAAAATCTGGTTCTGTGTATCACTTGACCCCCCAAATTCCACTTGCTCAGCAGATCCCATTTATGAACAGAACATGTTTTTTCTAATTAATAATGTCAAGAAGTAAGCAATGTGTTTAGCAGTTGTCTCCTGTGTATTTGCTTGGAAGAACAGACAGCAAGATAGCTTTTAGAACAGGAGGGAGAAATGCAGCTTCTAACAATTTTTTTTATAGACACGTAATTCAGGGAGGTCTGACTGCTGTCTCTTCTCAGGCAGCAGGTTATGAGCTGCACCATTTCAGAAGCTGCTCAGATGTCATAGCTTGGACAGCTTTACATGGCATCTGTCACAGATACACTTCTGTGCCAGCAGCTGGACAGGAGCTGTCTCAGAGCTCCTCGGCTCAGCTGTGCAGCACTGGTGTGGGATCACCTCCCTCTCAGCATGCCTTCAAGGAGTACAACACATAAAGGTGTGATAGCTTGTGAAAGCCCAGACCCGAGCAGCCAGAGGCTGTGCAGTCTGTCTGTCTCAAATCACAGCTGACCTCTGTGACTGTAATAAGTATGCCAGTAAAAAAGCATACTGAAGGAACACATTGAGAAAATCTGAGGTTTCCATTTAAGACTGGAGATGTTAAAAAACATCTACATTCTAGTTGGAGCACAGGTTATAGATGATGCAGAAAATATTTCCTGAATAATGGAATTACTGATCATAAGCAATGGAAATATATAGCTAACCTAGTGAGTTGCATCAGTGTGGCAAGGTCTTTCCAGTAGGGGAGGGCCACAGGTTGGTTCCTGTAAGAAACTGATAGAAGCTCCCCTGGCTCCAGAATCTGGCTGTCTCTGGCCAATGCCAAGCCCATCATCAACAAGGGATGCACCTCTGGAATGTACACATTAATGAAAGTGAAAACAAAAGACCTGCAGGGCAGAGGAGAGGGGAAGATGAAAGTAATACCTGAGCAGAGATACCAAGTCAGTGAGGAAGGTGGAGCAGGAGGTCTCCAAACAGAGGTTCACCTGCAGCCCATGGTGAGATGGCAGGTTGTCCCCCTGCAGCTCATGGAGGAGCACAGTGGAGCAAATGTGGACCTGCAGCCTGTGAAGGGTCATGGTGGAGCAGCTGCAGACCTCCAGCCATGGAGGACTGAACACTGGGGGAGGTGGCTGTTCCTGAAGCAGATTGCAACTCTGTGGGAAGGCTGCACTGGAGCAGCCTGCTCCTGAAGGACTGCATCTCGCAGGAGGGACTCACGTCAAGAGGCGTTTGTGAAGGACTCTCTCCCACGGAAGGGACCCCACACTGGAACAGGGCAAGACTGTGAAGAGTCCTCCCACTGAGAAGGAAGGAGTGGCTGAAAACAACATGTGACAAACTGACTCTAAACTCGGTTCCTCGCCCCTCTGTATCACTGGGAATACAGAAATCAGGAACAAAGTAATTTGGGCCTGAGAAGAAGGGAGGGGTGGGGTAAGGTATTTAAGATCTGGTTTTATTTTCTCTCCTGTAGGCTGTCAGTGCCAAGCATGGAGTGATGTTCAGTCTTTGCTCCAACACGTTCCCCTTCTTTTTTTTTAATTTTGTAGCAGGATATTTCGCTTTCAGTTGGCAATTTTTGTGATACTCAAAGCCAAAAAGTTTAGCAGAGCCTGCTTTTTGGATAACTGTAAGGTGAAAACAGTCTGGAAAGGGAATAAAGTGCACAGCAAGACAGGCAAGGACTTCTGCAACCTACTCAGCTTTTGCAAACTCAAGGTATGCCACTCTTTTATTAAGTGTTCCAGCTTCTTAACATCTCTATGGAAAAATAAATCTATAATAATTATAAACCAAGTTTTATTTCCCATTTTTCCTTTTTACTTCACAATCTTTTCTTTATTAACAGCTCTCTTCATTTGTTTGCTCAGTCTTCTCTCCTGAGTAGATAAAAGAGTTTCATTAAAACAAAAGGCTGATGCTGTCAGTAGCAGGAGAGCTGTCAACACTGGCAGTCTTGGTAAGTCTATTAAGATGACCTAAGCATGCTAATACTTAATGAATTCCGCTATTCACAGCAGTCCTTTGCAAATATTCCTTTATTGCGTATGAAAAACTAAGTTATTCAATTAAAATTACTAAGAAAAGACCAGACACCACACTACCTTATCTTTATACACACACATATATATAGTACTGTCCTAAAAGAAGGAGCAGTATACTATAAAATGTAATCTCTGCTGTACCAGAAGCACTTCTGATAGACTGCTAGACTGCTGAAGGGTCTAACAACTTTGATGAAAACATTCAATTTCAGAGATTATTAAGAAAAAGCCATCACTGGACAATCAAACCAGATTTTTTCCCCAGGATTTTCTGCCGTAGCCCATTTGCAGAGCAGATGTTCTAAACCAATGTGAAGAACAGCTGTTATACCCATCTAGTATAGTTTATCTCTAACTTATCCAGAGGTGGAAAATAAATAAATAAATAAAAATCACTGACATCTTCCGTCACTAGCATAGTACTTAATGTGGTAGAAAATAGACTAAAGAATAGCAAGTGAACTATGTAACAGTACTAGTCAGCATCACCACCTTTGAAAGTAAAAGCCTCTATCCTCCTTAACATACTTTGCCTTTAATCAAGGCTCCACAGCTCCAGCTATTACCTCATGTTTAATTGAAAAAAAAGTTTTTGAAGCAACAAAGCATTGAATGTTCATCTCTTGCATGAAAGAACAAATCTGTAACAGTAGAATACCTTCAGTTCAATAAAAATCTTGAAAAAAATCTACGAGGCTTCCAAAGAAAAAAATGAGTCTGTTCAGGTCAAAAAGAAAAGACTGATCTTAATTCTTCTCTCCTGAAAGATTAATGTCATTGTTTAAATTAAGGAAGGAATAAATATGGATGGGGGGTGGGGAGGGAATGGGGCTGGTGGGAGAGGGCACCACCCTGATGTTATCTAATATGAAACATAATCAATAAGCAGCATTATTTAAGTGCACATTTACCTGAGAATTACTGGCAGGCAAAAGCAATTTTCTCCTGTTAAAAAAACTTTATTAACATAAGAGAAATATGGCAATGAACTGCATGGAGCTTTCCAGACTGGATGAGGCTTTCCAGACTGGATGGGGCTTTGAGCAACCTGGTCTAGTGGGAGGTTCTCCAGCCCATTTAGGGGGGTTGGAACTAGATGATCTTTAAGGTGACTTTTAACCCAAACCATTTAATGACTCTATGAAAATAAAAACCCTTGGAATCAACACTGAATGATCCATGTAATGCTGAATAATGTACCCATCTAAAAAAGGAGAAAGACATCAATCATTTTGCCCCTAAATTCACATCTAAGAGCTTGGTTTTACAGCATAAAACTGAGTATTCTGGCATTCTTCTTTTTTGAGCTTATGGAAAAAGCCACGAATTAGGACCTTGACATAAATATAGGTCAGTGATACAGGACAATGGTTCTTAAACTCAGCTCACTCCCATGCCTCCAACTTGAAGAATAAATTAATTCCTCCTATTTTGAAGCACTAAATAACACTGTTAAAAGATGCAGATGACAGGAATTACTAGACATCCACCTTTGCTCTTTACATAAGATTCCTATGAGATCTACAGAAATTTGACAGCTGCACAAACCAAAGTAAGGCCCATGGCAAACACAGATTTCAGGATTTGATCTTCAATAAATATCACAAGTATAATGGAGACAGCACATATTAACACTTTATTTTTTTTTAACTTATAAAGGTTATAATTCTGAAATAATTATTTTAGAGCCATCTTGTGGAGAAAATACACAGTTTAAAACAATACATGTACTCTAATTGGTTTTCTACCAGAAAGATCAGTGTTCAGTATGACATCTTCTAGTACTCTTTAAAAAAATGCCTCAGCACACTGTAAGCTTTATACAACATTGTTTAAACGACTGGAACATGAAGGAAGTGCATTGATGAACAACTGTGCTACAATATTTATTCTAGATAGAATATATGTATGCATACAATTAAGTTAGAGATGCTGTTTTTCTGAAGAATGCTTTAAAGCCAGATTCCATTCAAACTCCACCCAACTAAGCCCACAAAAAAAAGCACAAAAACCTAGAGAAGCTGAGGTTTCTTTTACAGCTCACTTCTGTAAATGAGTAAATCATATGGAATTATCCAATCTAACTCAAATGAGGTAAAAAACCTCCAAAATAAATCTAAATATAGTAAAAGATTCATCACTAAGAGCTGAAAAGCTAATTTAAATAAATTAGCATTGCCAATTTATTTAAAATTTAGGTCATATGTAGTAAATATATGTTACTCGGCTTACTTCATTTATGTAGAAAATTGAAGTGTATCACATCACATTTATCCAATATGTAATCACCTTCTATTAATATAAAAGAAAGAACAGAGTATCACAGAACGCTTTAACCAAGTGCACAGTCAGGAGGTGTCACAGAAATATGGACCTTTTGGAGCTGTTACAATCAGAGTACAGTATAAACTGTCAATTTATTTGTTTTTTAAAGAATGAAATTTTACAACAAAGGGTCCAATGGTATCCAAAGCCTCTGACAGCTGTAACTAAACAGAACATACTGGCACGCAGATGTATAACCACACAATTTTGCTGAGGCAAGAATGAGTATGGCAATTTTTCATCTTACACGTCTACCAACTTTGAGTAAAAGAAGCTGCAGATGTGCGCTTACAGCTTTCCTTCCTCCTTAAAGATGTCAGCGAGATCCACTTCCTTCACATCCTCTTTAAACTTTGGAGAGGAGCCCTGACTCAGGGGCACTCGCCTTAATGAGATTTTGGATTTCTTTGAATTTTGGATGTTCTTTATCAGCTACCAGCTGCAGCAATATAGCTTCACTAGTAGTGACTATAATTCCAGTACGAGCAAGACGCTGAAAGAAGAAAGAGCAGAGAGAGAATAATAATGTGAGATACCTGCAAATGCTTATGAGCATACATTTTGTAAAATAGACAGGTAGTATTTTTTAAAACATCTCCTATTAACAGAAGTACTGCTGATTCCACTCCAGCATTTCTTAGTGGTGCCAGGATGGAAAGGCCTGAGAAAAAAACAAATAGTGGAGTCCAAGGTAAAGGCATTGAGCAAGAAACTTGAACAGTTTCTCTTTCAGGGCTTGCTTTGAACTACTTTGGACTAAACAGCATGCTAGTACTTAGAACTTCAGGAGAGCAAAAAGCTCTTCTGAGAACCTTATACATAATACTGGCACCAGAGTAGGTCCTTTTAAATGACAACTCCTTACAAACACCTGAGTTAGTTCTTACAGGCTCCAAAATAAAAAGCTTTACTGCATAGAAAGCAAAAGTGAAAGAGGCCTGCTACATCTTGTAAGTGCACAACTAAACAGACTAATGCTTCCTGTAGCTCAAGCCACAGGACTTATTGCCAAGTTTCTGAACTTTTAAGACTGCAGTTGTTGCCTATGTAGAAGTCACCCTTAAGTAAAGGCTGACAGCTCTCTGTCCTCCAACAGCTTCCCAGCAATTGTACAGATGCTCTGGCAGTAAAACTCTTCATAAATCCAGCTTTCCCTCCATCATCTTCTACTTAGCTGAATGTTTCACCAAGTCTAACGGGGTCCTAACTGAGCCACAGGAGGGCAAGAGGCAGAAATTACCAATGCATACACCTTCAGACAGGTTTCAATTCTACTTAATAAAGGAAAGAGAAGCTCCAAATATTCTAGGACAGACAGACATAGGTCACTGCTGTTTAGTTGTTCAATTACAAAGCAATTAATGGGGGATAAGTTATTAATTTTAGAGGACTGGTAAAGTATATATAACTACAGTCCATATAATGTTAAACTAGCTAGGCTAGATTTACTCCAGTCAATGTTTCCTACTTGCAATAATGGCAGTAAGCCTTATGATTAAGTTCAAAGAAAGCAGGTAGCTTCCCCAGCTCTCCTAAGCCTGACAACACATTTGTTTAAACCACATGCACACACAAAAGAGAAAAATAGAAAAATCAAAATGAAATATTATGGCAATGTTTTCAAAGTATACTTCTTTAGGAATACAAAGGTTTTGCTTTTAACTCGTATGGATGAGAGAAAAATAAAAAAAGACTGTCAAAGAACTTTCCCTTCTGAGAATTATTGATTGAAAAATGAGAATGTCTTCACTTTAGAAGTGAAATATACAATAATATGTGAAAGAGACTCGCATTGGCTAATACTCTAATTCTAGGACTATATATAACATACATAGCCTTGAGATTAATAGGAATTATGAGACGTGCAAAGTGGATGATTTTCAAGGAAAAAATAATTCTTAAGAATATAGTATTCAGACAAAGGAAAGAAGCAAGTGTGTGTTGCTTCCACAAAGCAGGAACAGGCAGAACAGATGTAGAACAGAAAAGAAATCTGAGGAACAGACTAAGCTAGCTCAAGGAAGCAGTGACACAAGGTATGTTAATCAGATAGGGCAGAGATTAAGAACAGCCACAGCTTGCTTGAATTACTTAATCAATAGAAATGTTGAGTTTTTAATTTCAGGGTTTTGGGGTGGTTTCTTATATTCTGAGTTTTGGCCTTCTATCATTTTTAAGCACACAACAGAATTGGAGACAGTAACGCTTCAGGGTCATCCAGACAGACATGAAAGCTTCGGCTATCAACTAATTCAAATTTGCATGTTCGCCACCAGAACCATCAGAACACATGCTTTGTGAAGGGAAATGTGGAGAACTTAAGGGGTGGGAGGAATCAGATGGGATTTATCTCAGGCTGGTGATGAAGCTGGTTGGTATCCCAGCAGGGTTACTCTTTTACCATCCTCAAAAGGTCACTGTGAATAGAGGAGGGTAATGTAAATGTTACATCCATCGTCCCAGAAAGGTAAAGAGAAGGATCTAGGGAGCTCCAATCAATGAACCTCAGCTCACCAGGTATGAAGCAAGTCTGCACAACAGACAACATCAGATTGATCAATTAAAAAAAACAAGGCTAAGAACATCCCTAAGAAATATATTGCCATGGTTAATCAGGATTGCTGATGTGTCCCCTTCTCTGGTCTCCTACTCTCCAGCATATGGCCTTCTCTTGACCACTCTACCCGATGGCCCTCAGTAGTATTTTTAAGAGAGGCTCTGCAGCACAAGAAAGGGACAATGTTGGCATGTGCAGACATTGAGGATGAGGAGGAGTTACTGCCATATAACTGGCTGGCTCCTCACAGCAAGTCAGTAATATTCCCTGGGTCATATTGTAATGAAGACTATTTAAGGGAGCATAGCAAAACACTTTTTCTGCTTGGTGAGAAAACATTGCAAAGACATAGTAAAAAGTTACCTAAAAATTACCAGTCTGTCTGGACTACACCAGTTGTAACCAACCATGCCTTCAAGATTATTGATACCTTTTTGACAAGAAATAAAAGCAAAGTTTCTGCTTTAACCTCTATTACAGTGAACCAACTTCTACGCTTGCAGACACAAGTGATTAAGTGACAATCAAATGCATAAAGACATACACAAGAAGGCAAACAGATTTCAGTTTTTCTGTATTTGTTTTGTCACGTGCTGCTGCTGCACCACAGTGACTTGGGAAGTCCATGGTTTTAGTAATTTCTGTACTCCATGCGGGTCACTATATTTTACATGACAGATGACATTAAGCTTCCATTTAATCAAAGCTATGGGCTTCGGAAAATGCTACATGCTAGTGGTTTTGCTTTAGTCTTTAATTCTCTTATTCATTACAAACAGCAGAAACTAAAATTCTCCCCAAAATCTTTGAAAAAAGTACAAAATGTTGTAGTTATTATTATTAGTTTCAATTTCCAAATAATTTTTAGGGCCTGAGGCCAAAAATATTCAATACTCACTGTAGATATCAGGTTTTGATTTCTAACAGTGACACCTGCAGGCAAGTAACAGTACACTATCAAAAGTCATTTGCATGAATTTGCTACCACATAGATGTAACAAGAAGATTTAAAAGTCTCTACATTTATCTCCACTTTCTCAATATTTAGCTAGACTAAGCTCCTAGAAAGGCAGAAGGAAAAAAAATCTTTAATCATAGAGTCTTGAGATTAAGCTTTAATTTGCAGTGATGAGGAAGAGCAGAGGGAGAGACAGATATATATAGGAAGGAGCTTTGAAGAGGATCCCTTACTATATTCTGTTGCATTTCAAAGCATTTCAGCAGCAGAATATATACTGTTTGGAACAACAAAACCAAAAGATCTGTAGTAGCACTTCTACTCTGCCATGCAGATAACACTCCATAAGGAATTTCCTAAAATGCTAATGGTTATACAGAGTAACCTAGATTGCATGAAATAATCACCGTTACAATCCAAGTGTCCCAAACTGGGTTTCACATATCAAAACATAATTTAAGGAGGAAAAACTAAGGCAGTAATCCTTCATTATCCTGGAAGCTATTCTGAGAATCAGAGTGTTCACCTCTTCTCAAGTCTGTTTGTTCCCTGTTTACAGTTGTTAGAAATTCCTGGTTAGTTTACAATAAGTAAAGAAATTAATATACAGACAGACACAAGGTGGTGAAAGCCTTGACTAAGAAATTTACCTCAAGAGCAAACATTCTGTCCATCATACTTCTTGACGAGGTGGCATCAGCTACAATATGAACTTCCAGACCTCTGCCAACTAATTCCAATGCTGTTTGCTGGATGCACACATGAGTCTACAGAGAAGAAATCAAAGGCAAAAAACTCACCAACAAAACATTCTTATAAAACATGAGTAGCACAGTGCCAAATTAGCGTACATATATAATTAGGGTTCAAGTGCATATTTTTCTACACCCAACATGACTGGGAAACTCAATGTGGGTTTTAAATTCCAACCAAGCTTGGGACAAGAGCCTTTGGTTACAAATATCTCATTTCAAATTTTATTGTGAGATAACACCTAGGACAAATAACACAGGAATAATTTAATCTACAGAGGGTATCTGAGTTCTAAGCAACATAAATTGACCTTTTTTCTTTATTACAGAAAGCAATGCATAATACTATTGTAGAGCAACAGACATTACTGTAAAAGAGAACAAGAATGGCTGGGCACATACTTCTACTCCAAACAGGACAATACTGCGGACTCCAGGGATCTCTGCTAAGGCTGCTTCAACTTCTGGCAACACCATTGAAAACTTTGTTTTGGGAAGCACAAGTTTAGCTCCTGTTAAATCGATTTCTTGCACAGTACTGCCAAGACCTTTCGGATACTGTTCAGTTACAATAACAGGAATTCCTAAGAGCCGTGCACCCTGGAGCTGCAACACGGCAGGGAGGAAAGCATAAAAGAAAATATTTTATTAAAGAACAAAAATAGCAAAGACATTAGTTCTTCAGTAAACTGCCTGTATGTAAAATAATAATTCACATGTGTGATGAAAACTCACTACAATAAAATGAAAAAGCCATACCAGCCGCTGGCCCACACTGATGATATCCCCAAAATACTTGATGGCAGGCCGGAATCGCTCTTGCATATCGCAACAAAAGAACACAGTGCTCGAGGGTATAAGGTTGCCCAAAGTAGTCATCTGAAAAACAAAATATAGTTAGTGTTTTCTGTGGCATTGAAGACCCTTTCAGAGAAGCAGCAGAATGAGAAAGAGTTTGCAATGCCTCTGTGCCAGGTAACAGATTAATGTTACCTTAAGTCAAAACTGCAGAAAGGTTTTTCCAGCCTGATTTTTCTATGTTTCTAAATTCAAATGAAAGGTTGATACAGAGTAGTATAATACAATCACCAATAGGTAATTAAAATTTTATTAGGAGGGAGATACAAATCAATATAAATGTATATGGAAACTTCTCAACCCTGAAGGGGAGATGGAAGAGCATCCCGCCTAAAGTATTTCAAAGAAAATAAAGTACCAACTGCAAAATTACATTCCTCAAATTAATTTTTAAATCCACATAAAACTGACATAAAACCAGCACTAATTAAAGTTAAAAAACTCAAGGTTGCTTTCAATGCTGTATGTACATATTTTCAATAGTTTCATTGGACTGAAGGTCCAAAGACTAGAACAAAGAAAGAGAAGGTTGCCGGTACAAAGACCCGAATCTGAACTGACCACATTTTAGTGATAAGAATAATCTCCCAGCACTTCCCTTGAACAGGCTACCATGTGGGGTAGAAGCAGAGGGTAAGGAAAAAAAAATAAAAGGTTGCATTTTCTCACATGTTGAAAGAGTGCTTTGCATTTGTATGAAATTACTTGCTCTACCTGCAAAAGCAAAGAAAAAGACTTCACCTAGAGGTTACATGGAAAAAAGGAGCTACATACTATCATTCAGCTGTAACACAATTCAAAAGAAATTACATCCATTCTGGAGCTTTTCAATGGACTGAAAAATCAAATCAAACACACTGCTGATGGGAACTAGCCATTAATTGTGCACACTTATTTTTATGCAAACCAAGGCAGTGATGTTTCACACAAAAACAGAATTACAAAATCTGTAAAATAGTCTCTTTTGGAAGAGTGGGCAGGCATTGAGTTTATGTGGCAAGGTTTTGACAGCAGGGGAGGTTGAGAAGATGCCAGTAAGTTGCCCCATATCTGAAAGAGCAAATGCCAGATGGCATCAAGGTGGACCCACTACTGAGTCCATCAGCAACAATGGCGGTGCCTTTGTGATAATGTATAAGGGTACAAAAAACAACAACAATGTGCAACAGAAGCTGGAGGAGGGAGAACATGCATGAGAAACAAGTCTGAAGACAACATGGTCACTGAAGAAGGAGGGGGAAGAGGTGCTCTGGGCACCAGAGCAGAAATTCCTCTGCAGCCCGTGGTCCCCTACAGCCACCATAAGTAAGGCAGGCTGTCACCTGCAGCCCACAAAAGTCCATGGTGGAGCAGATACCCACCTGCAGACCATGGAGGACCTCACGCTGGAGCAGCTGGATGCACTCAAAGGAGGCTATGACCCCATACAGCCTGTGCTGTAGCAGGCTCCTGGGAGGACCTGTGACCCAGTGAAGACAGAAGCCCACACTGGAGCAGGTCTGCTGGCAGGACTTGTGACCCCATGGGGAACCCATGCTGGAGCAGTCTGTTCCTGAAAGACTGTACCCCATAGTAAGGACCTACATTGAAGCAGTTTGTGGAGGACTATCTCCTGGGGGAGGGACCCCACACTGAAGTGTGAGGAGGAAGGAGCAGAGACAAAGTGTTGTGAACTGACTGCAAACCCCATTCATTGTTCCCCTATGTCACTTTGCAGAGAGGAAACAAGAGAATTCGGAAGTGACACTGAGCCAGGGAGAAAGGAAAGAGTTGGGGGAAGGGTGTTTTTATATTTTTTCTTTCTCATTACTCTACACTGCTCTTAACTGGCAATACATTAAAATAATTTCCCCAAGTTGAGTCTGTTTTGCCTGTGACAGTAATTAGTAAGTGATCATATAGAATCATAGAATCATTAAGGTTGGAAGGCACCTTAAAGATTATCAAGTTCCAACCCCCTGCCATGAGCAGGTGTCCTAGTTTGAGCTAGGATGGAACCAATTTTCCTTTTACTGATTTTTTTTTTTTTTCCTTCAGTAAGTTTCCTTTTAACTAGCACCAGCATATCCCAGCTAAGGCTGATAAGAGAGGAATGTTTTTGTAACTGCTGGGTCTTCAAGGTCGCACCTTCACTCTGCCGGCTCAGACACTATGGGGACATCTGTGACCCCCCCGTAGGAGGCTGAGTTAGACAGACAGCAAAACTGGCCAGAAATATTCCATTCCATATATCTATGTAAGCTCAGAGGAAGGTCAGAGATCACAGAAGACAGCTTCCTTCCTGCGTCTTCTGCCCTTCTTTTCCATCCATGGCCGGCGTCCTGGGAGAACTCCGTCCATCCATCACCGCTAGGTTGTGCATCTCCTGACCCTCATCACTCTGCTCTCTCCAGCAGCAGGCTGGAACTTTTCAGGACTGTTCGCAGCTCAGGAGACGCTGTGGGAGTTGCTTGGGGTGGGGAGAGGCAATAGGGGTTTTGTACATTTCCTGAACACATTTGTATATAATTGTATATATTTTTTCATATGATTAGTGTTTAATTAAAGCTATGTACTTGAGTTTTCAATCCAGCCAAGTCTCTCTCTTTTTCTCTCTCTCCTTCCCTGGCTGGGTGGGAGGGGATCAAGAGCGTTGTTGCCAAACCTGAGTCAAATGATGACATCAGGGACCACTATCACTAGATCAGGTTGCACAAAATCTCATCCAACCTGGTCTTAAAAACCTCCAGGGATGGTATATCAACAACCTCCCTGGGCAACCTATTCCAGTTCTTCACCACCTTTATAGTGAAGAATTTCTTCCTAATATCTAACCTGAATCTCCCATCTCTCAATTTAAAACCATTACCTCTTGTCCTATCACTATCTTCTCCGGTGAAAAGCCCCTCCTCAGCTTTCCTTTCAGGTACTGGAAGGTGCTAGAAGGTCTCTTCGGAGCCTTCTCCAGGCTGAACAGCCCCAAGTCTCTCAGCCTGTCTTCATAGCACAGGTGCTCCAGGCTTTTGACCACCCTGGTGGCCCTTCTCTGGACCCTCTCCAACAGGTCTATATCTTTCTTGTGCTGAGGACACCAGAACTGTGCACAGTATTCCAGGTCAGGTCTCACCAGAGCAGAGTAGAGGGGCAGAATCACCTTCTTGGCATTCTGATATTCCTGTCCTTACCTTGACACATTAGTCTCCTTGCCATATTTTCTCCTGTCCTTTTGAGGAGGAGGGGAGATGGAGTAGTGTGGTGGGCACCTTACTTGTCTGTTATAATGCTAAATTCCCACACCTCTCAGATTCAGTACACCACTACTGCCAAAAGAGTAAACATTTGTAATCGTAGTTCCTCCAGTCCTTGTGGACAAAACAGCAATACTTCTAATACAAGCAGTTAGAAATGCAAGTGCAATTATGATCACAAAGCAAATCACAGATGCTATAATGCACTGAGGCTACAGGAAGACAGAAAAGCATTGCTACAGGCACCAAGGAGACCTTTTTCACTATGAAGCCACAGCTGCACTGAAACAGGTTACCACAGGTGGTGGGATCCCCACCCTTGGAAGTTTTCAGCATTCAGCACAATGACAGCTGATTTGATCAAGATTTGGCTTTGCATAGGAGTTAGGGCCTCTGGATACCTGTCCCAAACTACCCTGCTGTGATACTACAACATGTAATAGATGAGGCTGGGGACAAGGAATGTTGAAAACAAAATTAAATATTGAATAACTGCCTGGTCTTGAACACCATCCGTGTGCTTGAATAATGCAGAAGCCAGTTTGTGGGAAGTACTAACGTACAATTCGACACCACAGTGGCCACCTATCATGATCCATTCTAAACTCTTGCACTTACTACCATCAGAGCAGTCAATCATGACATTTAACTTTTCTACTACTCAGCAGCAAAAAGAGTAATTGGAATAGACAGTATTTAATGTGCCTCTTACTCAGAAAACATGTCATTTTTTCTTGGCATTTATATGAGGAAGTCCATTATTTTCTTCTATAAACCATTCCAGCACTCTATATTTTTAAATAAAACATTTTGAACTACTGCAAAATATAATTAATTGGGAATCACAGCATTTGGGGACAAAGGAGACAAGGGAGACTGGCGCCACCACTTTGGTGGACAAGAGGACAGCAATTGACATCATCTATCTGGACCCATGCCAAGTGTCTGACTGTGCCACGACACCCTGGTCTCTAAATTGGAAATATATGGATTCAATGGATGGACCACTTGGTGGAAGGAATTGGCTGGATAGTTGCACTCAAAAAGCTGTGGTAAACAGCTTGACATCCAGATGGGGAACCACAACAAATGTCATTCCTCAAGGGTCATTACTGGGACAGTTGCTATTTAACATCTTTCTTGGTGACATGGACAGCAGAATTGAGGGCACCTACAGCAAGTTTTCCAACAACACCAAGCTGTGTGGTGTGGTCAACACACTGGAGATAAAGGATGATATCCAGAGGGATCTTAACAGGCCTCAGAGGTGGGCCTGTGCAAACTGCATGAATAACAATAAGGGCAAGTGCAAGGTCCTGCATGTGGGTCAGGGCCACCCCAAGTGCAAATACAGGCTGGGGGGAGAATGGATTGAGAAATGCTCTGAGTAAAAGGACTTGGGGGCGTTGGTGGATGAGAAGCTCAACACGAACCAGAAATGTGGACTTGCAATCAGAAAGCCAACTGTAACCTGGGTTCCATTACCATGACTCTGTAATTCTATGATGACAGAGTGATCTATGTGGAGTTAGTCTACTGCCTTAAAATACACTTTCCTATGCCAAGGCAGTGGATGGTGCTGCCATCCTTAGCAGAGGAACAAGTATGAATAAACCAGGAAGGCCTCCAAGAAGCTGCATATTCTGCCTCTACTGAAGGGTCAACCAAACACAAATATTCTTTACAGACAACCTACTGGTCTGACCCAGCAGTACACAATTTACAGAGCTCCTATACAATCCATCCCACATCTCTGTTATCTTTATCTTACAGTGTTTTCTTACCTAGAGCTCC